TGATCCTTTGTAGTGCTTCCCTCATCGCACGTGCTCGCCTCGAACCCAAGCATTCATGTGAGGTGGTGCTCTCTTGAGGTGGGCAGGGTGTTGAGTGGGAATCAGCTGAGCGGCTCCATCCCATCCTCCATCGCCCATGCCAGTCACCTGCAACGCCTGTGAGTTCACGTGCTGCACGTTCCGAAGCTGTTGTGTGTGCAATTCATTGATCGGAGGCTACGAATGTGCACTACCAATAGAAGATTGAAACAACCGATTCTGTGTTGATCATAAGCGATACGCAACATGTCTGGTCTTTAGGGTCTGCTTGAGTGTTTGGTGTTCACCAGCTGGGCCTCATCCAAGGCCTTGTGTTCAAAATGACAAAAGCTGCTGTATTTGTGCAATTTCCGAGTGTAGAAATGGATCGTTGAACTTCGAGACACAGTGTGAAGGAAAATATTCTTAGCAGGAAGATGGTACAAGCCTTAGAGGTTAGACCAATGTCATTCCTAGTGAAGTAGGAAGCCATGTATGTATGGCTGAACTCTTGAGGCTAGTTGCAGCACCTCAAAGCTGAGAGCAAGTCTAGCCAAACCTTGCCAAGCTAAGCCAGCAAGTGAGGCCTCATGTTGTGCGTTTGGGCCAAGCTGGAGAAAAACAACCCACGTGGCAGCATATGGCAAACCATAGGGGCCAGCAAGGTGTGCATGGGATGAGTGGACAGGTGGCAGTGCCAACTGTGACGACGCTTTACTATGGGTAAGTGTGGTGGAGTATGGACATGTCGTGGTGAGCATAATAAGAAGGAGAAGTGCAGCTGCTGAGAGTTGAACCCACAACCTCAGATACAAAAGGTATGAAACAACCCATTGGAATATACTTGGTGCACGACAATGAGTAAGCACTCGTATCAATCAGAAACCCCTGATCTCTGACACTGCACCTGCATTTTGACAGCACGGTTAATTACGAGGACCTGTAAGTTTCTTTTGCTGCTACCGTGCAGTCACCTAAGCCACGTTTGCTTCAGCAGTGCCTTCTCTTGCTTTCCTGCATAATTCTGTGCTTAGGGCTTTAGCGGCGCACACACCAACCAACCAGCGTTTCACCTTCTTCTGTAACTCAGGTGGCTGGACAACAATCAATTAAGTGGACCTTTACCCGACATGTTTGGGACTCTATCCGAGCTTACCTCCTTGTAAGAAGTTTTACTCTTTTCTTCTTCTTCTCCTTTTTCATTCTCTGTTGGTGTGGCATCTCGGGAGGCTTCTGGTATATTCATGATTCCGGCTTACTGGAAGCGGCTTGATTATCCATGGGCTTAACGGGACTTCTACTTCTTCCTTCATTCGTATCCTTACCTACCATGATTGTTATTCCAGTCTCGAACCAATCACTATTCCTGTATCATGAGGGAGGTTTTCCCACACCGCCCTCTATCGCTCTGCAGAAGACTTGGTGCTACGAGCCTTACTTTTAAGACTTCTCAAACGTCTTTCCCATACCGCCTGCTATTTGCTCTGCAGGAGTGTTGGTGCTACGAGCCTCACTTTTAAGACTTCTCAAACGTCTTTCCCATACCGCCTGCTATTTGCTCTGCAGAAGAGTCAACGCTACGACCCTCAGTGGAACGCTGCCAAGCTCGCTCGGAAGCTTCACTTCGCTCGACTCACTGTATGTGGCACACCATACAACAATCACAGCATGTCCTCACGTGTGCCGGCCCATGCATGCTGTGCGTGTGTGCCTGCCTGCCTGCCTCCCCTGGGGCACGGTTCTCTTCGGGGCTACCCTGGCCAGACATCGTCTGGCCCGGGGTTACGACGAAGTCGTACAAGCCAAAAAAAAAAAAAAAAACGCCTGCCTGCCTGCCTGCGTGTGCATGCGCACGTGCGTGCATGCGCGCGCGGAACCTGTGGGTTTGTTTTGGATTTTGAGTGAATGGGGAGGCTTTCTCGATTCAGCAGAGCACTGTGCTGGGAGAATCTTCCTGCAAAGATGGCAACCGGCTTTTGTATTGGTGAAGTGTGTTGTGTTGCTTCACAACTGCGTACAGTTCTATCAAACCACAGGTCCAGCCTCAACTGCTCACGCTGAGGGTACGGATTCAACTCGGCTGGATATATGTAGGAAAAATACTGGGCATGGGTTGATATGTAGACAATAGTCCGTCCGCACATGTGCAAACTGGCAAACTGGGTGGGCAAGTGTTAAGCCTCTGCCCACCCAGCCTGAGTATGGACCCTCGCTTTGAAGGGCTTTTTATGCCATAAGAGTCACTCATTGGCCTTCGCCATTGTGTGCGACTTCCCCTCTCTTCTTTTCTCCCCGCTCCAGCAACATAAGTGGCACCGGCCTCACATGCCCTGCGGACCACACCGGCTGTGGCCCCTCCCAATCGCCCAACTCATCCTTCTGCCACACCTGTGCCTCCTTCTGCCAAACCTGCGGCACACCAGCCGGTGAGAAGATGATGACGGCTAGGCATGAGGGGGAGGTGGGCATGAGGGGGAGATGGGCAGGAGGGAGAGGTGGGCATGAGGAAGAGGTGGGCATGAGGGAGAGGTGGGCATGAGGGAGAGGTGGGTATGAGGGAGAGGTGGGCATGAGGGAGAGGTGGGCATGAGGGAGAGGTGGGCACGATAAGGCGAATTTTAGCACTGCTATAATCAATTGTGCTCGTTAGATTCTCTAGCGTGTGCTTTTTACTTGCACTGCTTAGCTCTTCTCATCTGTAACCAGGTTACGCCAGCTTGCGTCTGCTGAATTTGGTACCCATGTTATCGCAGTTACCAGCAGTAGCAGCAGCAGCGGTGATACTGCTTCAGCATCTGGAGGAGGAGGAGGGGGTTTATCAGTGGGAGCCATCGTTGGCATTGCTGTTGCTGCGGCCGTCATTCTCCTCCTGCTTCTGGCTGCCGTTCTGCTCTTATTAAGGCTCAAGAGGCAGCAGGGACCAGCTGGTAAGAAGGTGTGGATTCACCAAGGATTTTGCCTCTTCTTCTGCCCTTTACTTAGATGGCTCCATCCGTGGCTGCTCACTCGCATTTGGACACTGCCTGCCTGAGCCTGTTCTCTCTGCACCAGTGGTTCGCGTGCTGTGCAAGTAAGGAGGTATAAGGTCTGCCGCTCTTGCATGTACCCCAGAAACGCATCGAAGCTTGCCGAATCCAACGTGACGTGTGCCGAAACGGAAAGGACAAACAGAAAACGACCCATAAATTCCGTTGTGTGTGAGTGGACGTTGCCCTTCACTTCAACCTTTACCCTTCCACCCTTCAACCTTTTTTCCGTCACCCCCACCGCACACGGACAGGCCCAGGCCCCAGCCTGGCGGCCTCGCACTGCACGGAGTTCTCACTGGAGGAGGTGCTGAGGGCCACCAACGGCTGGTCGCAGGACAATCTGCTTGGCTCGGGTGCCTTTGGTGATGTCTACAAGGGCGTCTCTCCCCGCGATGGCACAACAGAGTGGGCTGTCAAGCGCGCCAAGCTCATGGATTCAGACTTCCAGAGAGAGGTGGGTGAGCTATGTATGGAGTGTTAGAAGATAGGCAAGAATTGGTTTCTTGGAAGATAAGCTAGAACAGGTTTTGTGAACTGTTTCTGGTGAAATTCACGCGCCATTAGGTAGAAACCTTTCCGCATTGCTCTCGCTGCTCTCGTGTGCACGTTTTTTTTTTTTTTTTTTTTTTTTTTGCTGCAGGTCCAGCAAATGGCCAATAAGAACCATCCCAACATTGTGCGCCTGCTTGGGTTTGCGGTGGGAGGGGACATGAGAACACGGCCAGAGCACGTCTTGATCTACGAGTTTGTACCCAACAGTGACCTTCAGAAGTGGATTGATCCAGGTATGCATGACACCCAATCCTACCCAAACCAAGTGAACGCCTCTAGATGCGACATGTTCTCTGAGGCCTCTTTGATCTGCCTCTGATCCACACAGCACATTACTGGCACAAAAACACGCAATGCTTCCTGTGATGCGCTGTGATTCTCTCTGCAATTCTGTTACTGGGAACCGTTGCAGAGGCACCCTCTCCTCTGAGCCTGCAGCACTACTGACATGCAGGCAAGCTTGCACATGCTAGAACGGTTGCGCACTATTGTCCGATGATGCACGAGAAATACAACGATATACATTTTTTGGTCCTACGTCCCTGGGTTCTTATGTTTTCGCTTGTGCTGCTATGGCCCCACCACCACCTACCAGGCCAAGATTGCAGACTTTGGCCTTATGAGGGTGGGAGAGGGCACGACACAAGTGATGGGGACACCGGGCTATGTGGATCCTGTTTACTCCAAGACGTCACAGGCAACCACCGCCAGTGATGTCTACAGGTGACATGGTCGGAGGGTATCAGAGAGATATGTGTCTTTGCTTGGTGCCTTCTCTTCATAGACACGCTCTTTTCGTTCATGGTTGCGTGTTGCCTTTATGCCCTCCTGCATCCTCATCATGGCTCCACGAATGCAGGCAAGGACATCACGGCATGGCACACATCGGGTATTTCGACTTGGACTTCCATACAATCTCACAGTCCTCACATGGCACGCATGGCACCCCTCACAGTCTCCTGGCCGAAAACGGCCCTCCCTCATTCCCTCCCTCCCTCGCTGCAGCTTTGGTGTGCTCATGCTTGTGGTGCTCTCTGGACGCCCTCCAATCTCAGAGTTTGCCGGGAAGACCAAACACATCCTCCAGATTGTAAGTACCAGCGCCAGCTGCTAGGCTGAAATGTCTGTGCAATGATTATGGTTGAAAGCAGTGAAACAGCCTATTCATGCATTGGTGTTTGCTCGAGTTTGTTTCTGCTTACAACAGCACATCTCCACACCTCGACTCCTCTACTCAACCCACTCCTTTCTCGCGACAGGCGCCACAGCCACACTGAGTCTCGTAGAGCTCAGAATCACGGTTCATACCGTACTTATAGGGAATTTGTTTTTATCCCCCATTTCCCCCAGGCATCTGATTGCCTCGCCTCGGGTGACTCAGAGAGTCTGAGGGACCCGCGCATGGACGCCCCTCCCGGGGATGCGGTGCTGCGCGTGGCTGAGCTGGCAGAGAGCTGCACCGTGGAGCACACTGCAGGCCGCCCAAGCATGGCGCTCATCGCCACCCAGCTGCACGCCGTCCGGGAGGAGGTGGCGGGGAGACAGGAGCTGGGTGCAGCGGCTAAGGTGGATGCACAGGTTGAGAAGATGAAGAGTGCAGTTGGTAGCGTGCTAAGCCTAGATACGGAGATCAACTTCATTGCGGAAAACTGTTCTTGAAAACCAGTTTCCACCGAGGCACGAACAACTCTCTTGATGCGTGCCAAATTGTCATTATGGTTCTTTCATAGTACGGTAAGACTTGGTGAGGTTTCAATGTAAGCATCATGTTGGGGTTCAGCTGTGGCAGCCATGGCTTTGAGGTACACGACGGATGAGTGTCTATATGAGAGGCGGAAGAATGAGCGGTGGCTCGTCTGTAGTAGCAGCTTTGACAATTACAAATGCATTTGCCGTGGCTCCTGGTTGGAAGATGACATACCGTAAAAGCAAGATAGGGCAAAAATACTGGTGCACCCCCTCCCCAAGTAAAAGAAAAAAGAAAAAGATTAGGCAATAGCCGCGGATTGAGTTCACCCATTTGCTTGTAGCATCTTGGGGGTGATCGGGCCGCGTGAGGAGGGATCCATGAAAAGGGGGATTCATTTGGCATGGTTCTCATCATTTTGCCACGGCAATGTGTGGTGTTACCTCTTACAGTATATTCGAAAGGATATTTTCAATAGCGTAGCTGTTTGGGATAGTCTTGCATTATCTAACCGCCAACGGCCCAGTCTAGTACTACAAGAAAGAGTGTGGATGTATGCACATGTTATAACACTTTCAGTAAACACGATATTCCCATATGCAGCTCGAATCAATGAATACCCGTTTGTGGTCACGGCTATTTTGCTGTGAGAACTGAAGTTCTGTGTCGTAGCGCGGCAACAAAATGCGGCCACCAATGTCCCCAACCCGAAGTACAGCGACTATATCGAAAGGCTATAGTGTCAAGTCGCGTACCTTGTGAAGTGTTTTTGGGTCAGACAGAACTATCAACGTGCGGGTTCCTACCACACCCTTCTGGGTTCGAAAAACTTTTGAACTGGCGACGCTTCGCATAAACTACAGAAAGCCTACCTACTAAGAGAATTGGAACCCTTAGACCCAATTCCTGAACCTCGGGCAACTTCAGCTTTCAAGACTCACTGTATATCACACACGAATACCCTTCACGAGCGCGACGCGGACCACTTACCATTTCCAACATGTGTGTGTGTTTCTGTTGATCGTCTGTGCCACTCGCCGCCGATCCCGAGAGAGAAAGCATTTTGCCTTCCTCCCCCTCCAACTTCAGTCATACCTACGTTTCTGGCGGCAATCCAGCCCTGGGTTTCTCGTGCTGTATTTGACAAGCTGAAGCCTGAGACCGAGCTGGAGTGACGCACGCAGATCCCTGTAGAAGGTCTCACCAAAAATCGCACTTGTTCACTGACCGTCCTGGGACAAGCTGAGCTCCTGCGGTAGCGCCGTCACCATTTACGGCTCAAGGCTCTCATCTACTTCCTCTCTAAAGCCTCTCGATATCAACACAACAACCTCAATTACCATCTATAGACTCGAACAGACACAAGCGACGACAGATAAAACGTCTAGTACGAGTGCGCGAAGCACGCTCGCGCATACGGGGACCAGCACTATGGCGCGTGCTCCGAAAGGGCGGCTGCTGGCAGCAGCGGTGACGTGCCTGCTGTTGCTGCTGCTTTTGGATTCCGCCATGGCCAAGGGCAATGGCCACGCGTTCAGAAACGTCCCCCTAAGCAGTGCGTTTCACCTCTTCCCAATCTCGCCGCGGCCCTTGCGTCCCGTCTTTCCGCGCCCTCGCTTTACTTCGCCCCCTTTTATTGCGAACTACCCTCGCAAAGGTTTCACAATGTCTCATGTCTCGCGCAGCTTCTCTCTTCCCCACGCCACCCACCCTGATACCTCATCGCCACAAAGCCCTTTCAAGTCGCCTTGTCTTCTCCCCCTCCGCTCCCCACCAGGTCGCGTCAAGTTCCCCAATTTCCAATCCACCGACCTGCTCCACCTATTCGGTTCCGCCACCGCGTACCACCGCAAGGCCGTGCGCCTCACCTCCGCGGAGCACTCCGCGGGCGCGGTCATCCTCCGCACGCCCATTGTCCTCCTCGACCGCCCGGGCAACTCCCCCAACAGCTCCGCCTGCCGCGCGCTCGCCTGGAGCTCTGTCTTCGACTTCCGCGTGAGCGGGCCCGCGGACGGCTTCGCCATGGTGCTCTGGCCGCGCTTGCGCAACCTGGGCTCCGCGGACGGGTATCTGGGGTACGCGGGGGACGTGCGCTACCGCCGCTCGCGCACGCTGGCGATAGAGTTCGACACGTACCATAACACGTGGGACCCGAAGCCCAGTTACAGCGCCAATGGCGCTGATGGCGGCTCTGGGGGCGCGCTCGTGGCGAGCCACGTGGGGATCAACCTGCGCAACTCCGCCAGGTCCCTCTCCGCGGAGACGCTCGTTGCGCCGCTAAACGACACAAAAATCTGGCGCGCGTGGGTGATCTACAACGGGCTCGACCTGGCGGTGTACGTGGGGCGCGGGCGCAAGCGGCCGCGGCGGGCGGTGATGCGCGGAAGGATGAACCTGTGCGCCGTGCTGAAGAAGCCCGGGTTCTTCGTGGGGTTCACCGCGTCGTCCGCAGGCTCCCCCGCCGTGCACGACATCCTCAGCTGGACCTTCTCAGTCTCTCGTGAGTTCGGTCTGTGCTTGCGGTGGGTCTGTGCTTGCTCTGTTTCTACAGGTCGTGGTGAAACGAGTTGGCGCCTACAGGAGAGGGTAAGCAACCTCTGTCCAGCGCGGGCTGACGTTTGCTGCCCGTCCTATCGCCCGTCCATCCACTTGGCTTTTCAAGGCTGTTCCTATCTTCCTCCCTGGGCTTCTCTCGATGCTCCCCATCAACCAAACCATCACTTTTCCCCACTCATTCCCTCTTTCCTCCCCACCCCTTCCTGCTTGTTGCTGCGCGTTGCTCACTGATGCGTATATCCAGCGGCGGCATCACAGCAGTGCCCCACGTGTCTGAGCACCACGGAGGCCAAGACCGCCGTGGCGTGCTGCTCGCCCTTCCGCTGCTGCAACGGCTACTGCCTCGCGCCCACGGAGCTCTGTGGCGGCAGCAAGTGCTGCGGCAGTGTGAGTGCAGTGCACGCCTCAACCTCGTTATTACCAGACTCACAAATCCATTTGCACTATTGCTTCCCTTGGCTGCACAATTACATGCCGTTTCTGATATTTTCTCTCGTTGCCTGTGTTGGTACTTGCATGTGAAATGGGCTCAGCCTGCAAACGGGCGAGTGTGCTGGGCAAACAGGTGCTGCAGTGTTACCAGCATTTGCATGACTAAGGAGAGGAACCCTGTCTGTTGCAACCAATTTGGCAACAGCACATGTTGCTTATAACTGCACTAGCACCTTTCTATTGTAGTTCTCTAGATGGACACTCTCTGTCCATATGTCAGTGTTGCAACAGTCATCAAGAGTCTGATATTCTGGATATACTGTAGGTAAGCATTTAGAAAGCTTGCTTTCTTGTGTTTGCAATGGCAACGTGCTTCGTTTCAAATGGGCATTACAACATTCTCGTCCGGGATCTATATGGTACCTACATTACAAATTACAACATGCAATTTTTGCTAGGGTGGGTGGGTGGGAAATAAGGCATTTGAAATTTCAAACGAAGACGTGGGTGGAGGCCAAATGGCCTCCACCCCCTGCTATATAGTTGGCGAAGAGCGTCTAGCACTTCGCCGTTGCCATTGCTGCATTACAAGCAGCTTCGCTTTCAAAATACACATTTTTAGAAAGTGTTACACACTTTCAAAAAAATTCATATTATGCAATGGAATATTTGCATGCGCAGTCACTGCAATGCTGCAAATAATCAGAGTTCTCAAAATTTTCGGCTCCTGCAGGCACAGTGGCAATGCTTTTACCGTATCTGTACGAGGGAGGTACAGCGACAAGCTTCTGTTACCGTCATCGCTCGGATATAAGACAGTGTTGAATAGAAGACATGGGGTGTCTATCAAACGGGTATCTCTTACAGATGAGCGTTCTGATTATAAGACACCTATATGTGTGTACGAGATTAGCGGGGGTACATGCATACTTTAATGAATTCCTACTTCTACCTAGCCCCCCTCTGTCACGGCCTCCCCATCTGCACTAGCAAATGCAAGCTCCCTAACACTCAGGTCTGGCACTCGCCAGGCGTGCCTAGCTGCCTAGCTGTCTGCATGCCTCGGCCACCGCTCCGCGCTACTTAGGAGTCTCCTGGTACAGCACCTCCAGGCCGGTTGCCACGCTGACCTCCTGACACCCTCCGCCTGCATCTCCTCCTCCGGAGCCTGTCCAAGCAGGCGCGTGTCCTCGCCCGTGGTCCCCCCGAGGCATATGTCATCGGAGACATCGGCGCTGCCTCTCTCGCGCAGGTGAGACATCACCAGCTGGTTCTCCGTCCCGTCCAGCTTGCTTGCAATCCCACAGCGGCGGAACGCGTCAATAATGACCTGCTTAGGGACTTGTTTCCACGCCTCCGCGATCCACTACAGCACCACGGGGTGCTTAGGCCTCCGCAGGTTCCTTGCGGGTGGGACAACGGTAGGGGCAGCGTGCCGTTAGAGACATGGAGGGGTAACATAACAGGACTGGATTTTTTTTACAAGTGTACTCAAACTTCTTCGTCTTCAGGTGAATCCATTTACGTATGAACCACCTGGCGTAGCGCGCCCGCACCGCAGCCTTGAAGCACCGGTTGATTGAGACATCCAGGGGTTGAATCGGGCTCGTGCAACCTGCTGGGATTACCGCAAGGGTGATGCTATGCATCTCGTACGCTTGAAGCATGCCCTGGGTGATGTGACGTTAGTAGGAGTCCAACACCTGCATCGCACGCCTCGCGCTCTGGCCGCATTGGTGGTTCAGATGGGGCAGCACCAGGGCTCTTGCTAGGTTTTAGGCCCGTCTGAACCCCCACCCCCCCCCCCCCCCCCCCCCCCCCCCCCCCCCCCCCCCCCCCCTCCCCCCCACACCCCCCACAAAAAAAAAAAAAAACAACAACAAAGTCTGACGTTCAGACTGGCAAAATTTTTTTTGTCTGATTTTCCAGACGAATGTTCATGCTATGTCTGATTTATCAGACGATTTTTTAAGCATGGTCGGAT